AAAGTAGAACATGTGAATAGTGTAAAAGTCAAAGTGTTGCATTTATTTAAGAACGGAGGTAGTATGTTGTTCACTTGGTGTCTCAATTTATGCATGCTCCTAGTACTTCACATATGTTGGTTGTTAAGAGAATTTTCAGGTACCTACATGGCACTCTCACGCATGGACTACATCTACGACCTTCAGCACATCCTCATTCCATTCTGGCGTACTCTGATGCTGATTGAGTTGGTTGTTCTGATAGTAGCCGCTCCACATCTGGCTATGTTATTTTCTTGGGTCCAAATTGATATCATGGCGATCTTTGAAGAAACTCATTGTCTCCAGATCCTCCATTGAAACTGAGTATAGAGCCATTGCGTATACGGTTCAAGATACTTTACACATACGGTCCATTCTGTTTGAGCTTGTCTTTCCTATTCATCGGCCGGTTCGTCTCCTATGTGATAATGTATCTGCCTCATATTTGTCTGTTAATCTGATCCCATTTAGCATGCTTGTAGCTTAGTAAGCACATTGATATTGATTATCATTTTGTTTGGGAGCGTGTGGCTCATGGTGATATTCTGGTGCAATATGTTCCTACAAGTTTCAGTTGGCTGACGTTTTTACCAGGAGTTTTACTCCTCAGCGGTTTTTATTTTTACGAGACAATCTTCGCGTAGTTCCTCTTGCATAGATTGAGAGGGTGTAATAGTGTAGAATTAATTATTAGTCAATATCCTAATTGTATTCTAAAATTTATTTCATTATGAATATACAGTCGGGGTTAAGCCCGTTTATTATTCTCACGCATACATACATAAAGTAAACGACTACATCACAATTTCTATATAAGAATTGATATGCACCTTACGTATGTATAGATAAGTAATTGCATCTCGATCGGTATTCAATATAGAATCGTTAAAAATGTGTGAATGATGATAAACAGGTCCTTGATTAATTATAAAAATGTTGAATTCATATCTTCTCCATCTAAATTTAGAATAGATTATCTAGAACGGAGTATTACCTATTGATTATTATTATATATATGCATACACTCGGCGCAATTAGAATTGTGATTACACATACTAGAGCCACCCTACCACGTATGCCAACTGAGAACTCTCGCGGCCCTGCCACGCAATTCGGTCAGCGTGCAATGCCATGCAACTTTCTTTAATAAATATAATTTCATTCAAATTCAATCTTCTTCTTTACTCAATAGCTATATATAGACAGGGAAGAGAATAGAGAATTTAATTGCTTCATTTGATTTTGTACCATATAAGAAATGGCGGATTGGGCACCGGCAATTATATCGGTTATTCTGTTCGTGCTGCTATCTCCGGGACTTCTCTTCCAAGTCCCGGGGAAGTACAGAGTGATCGAATTTGGCAAATTACATACCAGCGCTCTCTCTATTTTGGTTCACACCGTTCTCTTTTTTCTTCTCAATACCGTTTTGCTCTATGTTCTCCACCTTCATATCATCTCCTCAGATGATGACTAATATTACCTTTGGTGGACGGTTTTGGAAGAAAAGTGAAATAGCTAAAAAAGATGTGTTTATTTGGCTCAAGTGAAGAGTAAGAGCTTTTCTTTGGTGAAGGATGCTGCCAAAATTGGAGTTGCTTAATTAATTACTTTCCTTAGTTTCCTTTGAACCTTTAAATTTCTTTGTTCATGATATTGTTTTACATACATAAAGATTAATGTATATATATTATTACGTAGAACTTATATAAAATTTCATATAGGAGAGGTTCTCTTGAAAATAAAAACATATTTATGGACGAGTACTTTTAATCTTCATTTTCCATATTTTTTAGCAATATCCAAAATTAACAATGTCTAATGTTTGTAATTTCTTTACACTAATAGATCATAAACTAGACCCAGTGGAGGACCTAGGGGGGTCCTAGAGGGGCAAGTGCCCCCACTTCCGACTCCGAACTTTAGTATTAGTACTTAGGATAAAAATAGTGTCCCACCTATCTGGATAAGAAATATTTGGTATAACTATTAAATGAGATAATAATCCCTTCAAAGAGTATATGGAGATTGTTATAAGACATTTAAATGACTATGAAATTATGATGGAATGATTGTTTACGATTAGACACAATACCAATTGTAAATGTTAAATTTTGATTGTTTAAAATATGAAAACTATAAACAATGCAAAGATGATTCAGTTGTAATCCATGTTGCGTCTTTCTTTCAAAAAACTATATATTATGTTCAAAATTGTCTTAATAGGTTAAAACTCGACCTATAAATCATAGGTTCACATCCTTTGGAATCGACATTGAATAAACTATTCTTTTTTAAAAAAAATTGTCTACACGAGATAGAATAGACCATTCTCACACCCGACCCGATCTATTTCTATCCATTTTGCAGTGCCCGTCCTTAATAAAAGCCCTGGGTCCGCCACTGACTAGGCCTCATTTAAGTCTTCAATAATATAATTATAAAAAATATCATATGTCCTTGTCATTATTTGAAAAGAACACTCATTTGAATCCAAATAGGCGACGTATGATTTGATTGTATTTGATTCCGTTTTAAGCCGTTTACATCTTGTACGAAAACTCATTAATTATTAATGTAATAAATTCGTGTTTTGCTGCATTTACCCAAAACTACTAAGTGATGAATGCTTTTTAAGTTGAGAGTTGAAATTCATATCTTGCTGCATTGGGTAATTGTACATATGTGCGCAAAATATGTTTTAAGAAATAAAGTTTAAAGTAAATACGACGTATTCGTAAAATCTCACTGTTAACTTTAACAAATTTGTAACTTTAATGGACACCAAATTGGTATCACCAAACAATGGTTTTCAGATCCGACTCAATGTAGGACATCTCCATCCCTTCGATTATTTAAGGTTTAAATAGATTATGTGTAAGATTATTTAAGGTTTAAATAGATTATTTGAATACCATGATTGATGGAGAGTTTATTTGCTTTTGCCCACGTTTTCATAATCTCTCTATCTTGATGTGATTAGGGGTGGTTTGGTACGGTATACCGAAGATTTTATCTCAGACCTTTACCATACCGTAAACTTTCGGTATGCAAAAATACATACCGTTACCATACCTAAATTTCGGTATACCTGGTTTCGGTATACCAAAATTTCGGTACGGTAAGCTCCGGTATCGGTAAATTATCATGATTTAATATCAAATTATTATACTCCCTCCGTCCCTTAAAACTTTGTCAACTTTCCTTTTTTGGATGTCCCACTAACTTTGTCACTTTCCTTTTTAAGTAAAAATGTGTGGTTCCAGTTAATTCTCTCTCCTCTGCACATATCTCAACCACACAGTTTCTACTTTATTAATCCTCGTGTCAGTCAAACTTGACAAAGTTTTAAGGGACAGAGGGAGTATATCAAATGAAATATAGAAAATCAGTGTTAATAGTGATATACTAAAATTATTAATGAAATTAATTATAAAATACCAATGATAACCTATTTGTGTTATATTCAACTTTGAACAAAAAAATATTATAAATATGTACGGATATTTCAACACATGATATATGAAGATAACTACACATTCTGCTAACATAAATATATTTGAAATAACATCGATCTCCAACAAAAAGTATAAATAATTCCATAAACATGGATATAAAGTCATTATCCTTGAATTGATGTTGTGTTTCTAGTTATTTTTATAATTTTAAAGAAATTATTGGCTTGGAATTACGGTATGACGATATAACGGTATACCGTTTATTTCCAAAATATATACCGATACCATATCGAAGTAATTCGGTACGGTATCATACCGTACCAAAAGGGTCGGTATACCAAACACTTCGGTAAATTCGGTATTTTTCGATATGGTAAGTCCGGTATACTGAAATTTCGGTATTTTTCCCCACCCCTAGATGTGATAGTGTTTAATGTAAGGGCCCGTTTGGTAGTTTACACATTAAAACTTTACATGTAAAGTGATTGCATGTAAAGTCTAGGGTTGTAAAATAGTTTGCATGTAAAGTAGAAATACATTGTGTGGCCATGTATGTAATTTGTTTTTAAATTGTACAAGTACATAAACTTTCTCAAATGAGTTTACATGTAAAATCCTCATTGAATGTGCCACAGAGCTAGAGTTGGCCTGCAACTTTTAATTTTGAAGACTATTCACTTCAAAATTGTACTCGTAACTTTATTTGAAGCTTCCACAAAAATATGATAGTAGTAATCACTGAAAAACAACAGTCGAACAGGTGTAAATATACATACATACACACATGTGTACTGTGTATATATATTATATAAACAAATACAGAGTAGTACATATATATATTTGATCTCAAAACTAAACAGTGGCTACAGTTAAGCTTATAATTCCATGTGTACATCAAATCTCAGAACGTAATTTAAAGCTAAAGATCCAATGTTCTAACATATGTATAAATATGTAGGAAAAATTAACACTAATAATCTAACCTATTGACGGTCTTCTATTATTAATCCCTCCTATGTACTCCCCCCGTTTCAGTTTCTTTGACATCCTTTCCTTTTTTGGACGTTTCAAAATGAATGCCACACTTCTCATTTGGTAAACAATACGCAAGTTGGGCATTTTTGAACCGCATGCTCCAACTTGAGGGGGGGTGTTAGCCGTGTATATTGTATGTGGGCCTGGGGGTGTGTATATTATGGGCTAATAGTTTTGTATAGCTTATATTTTACCCTAGTCTTATTATTTAACTTGTATAAATACTTTATAATACGAAGGAAATCAAAAGGGAAAATCAATCCCTATACTTTGTATTACTTTTCCGAATACCACTATTACCTTTTCAGCAATGTCAAAGAAAATGAAACGGATGGAGTATTATTCTAAATTAATCTTTATATATATAAAAACAGGATCGTCTGATCCATGTTGTCCCAACCTGGAACGTGTCACACATCTATTGGGTAAAAATTGGCAACTGCTAATAAAAAACCACATGGCTACTGGAAATCTGAAAGTTGAACACATGGCGCCCCATTATTTTGACAGTTCCAGGACCTCAACTGGCACGTAAAAAAGTTATGCGTTTGAGGTTTCCATGACATCCCTCTGCGAAATCATCGATAGAAGCTAACTAGCTAAGTCATTATAAATAGCCCCTAAGCTAGCAGACGTGGGTGAAATCTGCACAAATCGATCTTCATAACTCCATCAAAATACGGAGTACTTATATATTTTGTTCTTTCTCAAGATCAAAACTACTCCCTCCGTCCCAGAATTAACTTCTGTTTTGACTGGGCACGGAGATTAAGAAAGTGGGAAATGTGTGGTGGAGAGTTGTGCAGAGGAGAGAGAAATGTGTAAGAATGGTTGTGAACCACAAATCCTTTGCTAAAAAAAGGAAAGAGGAGATAAATTTGGGACGGACCAAAAAGGAAAGAATGAAGATAATTATGGGACGGAGGGAGTATTTGTTAATAACTACTCCGTATTACTATTTATACTTCCACTTTTCGGTTTTCAGAGTTTGTAGAGTTGTGAAGTTGCTTGCCAAGAACTTTTTGGGGAAAAAGCAAAGCAGCAGAATTGTTTGCAGAAATGGTACGAAATCATGTATTTGTTTCTATAATCTAACAAGTATATTCTGAAACATCATTGAGGATTGACCACTTATTTAACAGAAAGATGATGGTGGGGTTATCCATTGCATTGAGATAATAAATTTGATTGAAAAAGGAGTGATAAAATGGGAATTTGCATTTAGCACTCTAGCTAAAGCTGAAACGAAGTGATAATGTCAGGGGAAACTTCGAACACCAAGGTCAGTATGTACGAACATTTTGTTTTTTACTTATTTTTATTTTATTTAGACACAATTTTTTTTTAGCATATTTGTTAAAGTTATTATAGGTCTGTGTCCTATTCTGACAAGTGAATGAGCAGATTCAAGGAACAAATTCAGAACATATTGATCTTACTCTAAATGATACTTTGGGCTCAAATGATGATACCACCTTATAGGAGGGAAAAGAGGTGTTGAGATGGATGGTCAGACGCTCCAATACAAGGAATGACGAAGAGAAAAAGAAAACGCAGCGAGGATGAAGATTGAGAAAATCTGATTGAATTGAAGGTGTTTACTTGACTAATAAGATCTTAAATATATCAGAGGAGTTTTGGGTAAACAATGTTGGGATATATATCAGAGGAGTTTTGGGTAAATATCTTAAATCGGTAAATGTTGGAGTTTTGGGGCTTGAAAATTTTATCAGAGGAGCATTCGGTAAACAATGGCCTGGTGCAATGTTCAGTCCAAAGAGAAAAGTTGGGATATTGTCTGAGAGTGGCAAAACGCAGGTTGCTTCCTTTCAATGTGGGAATTTGTTCTTTGAACTCATGAGCAAAGTCAAAACTATGGGTTATGTTTCTGTCTCTCTAGAAGAGTTGGTATACCCAACCTCTAATCTCTATGAAAAAATGGCTTGGATAGAACCAAAAGAACCCACATTGAGAGACCCACTAGCTGCCAGAACCAAAAGAATCCACATTGACAACCAACATTTGAGCTATGAAGTTGAACCAAGAGCAAAAATCAGCATGCAATGGTATGAATAAAAAGCTAATGACACTGAACATGTCATGAAGTAGTGATCTAAATATTCTTATAGCTTTCTTAAAAAAATAGACTCCTATGAAATAGAAGTGCAGGAAAGGTGCAGTTTTTTTGGTTAATTGACATGTATTTGTGAAATTCATATGTATTCTCTGTAATGTTCACACTATTTATGTGGTGTGGCTTATATTATTAGTGCTATGGTGACTTTAATTTAGAATGCAGGGTGTGGGTACTTCCAATGGTACAATGAGAATGACATGCATTGTGATGAATTCAAAATGGAGAAAGACATAGTCATTGATAAGTTGTTGGCTGAGGACCAAGGCATAGTCATTGAGAAGTTGGTGGCCGAGAAGAAGATTTTGGAAGAAAAAGTTCAAAAGCTGAAGAACAAGAACAAAAAAATGAGTGTCAAAATTACTGAAGTGCAGATGATGGCTTCCAAAAGTGCTAAAGGAGAAAGAAATACGATTATGGTTGTACTTGTATCATGGATAGTGTTTGGTATTTTAGGTTATTTGAAGTGAAATTTAGAAGAGTAAAGTTTGTATGTAATGTTTAGCCCTGCTGCATCGGATAATGATTGCTATTATGGTTGTATTTTACCTATAACACTGAGTAAAGATTTGTATGTTTCAGAACCGAAGAATCGGAAATAATGTAATACCGTACCGTGCCGTACCGAAAAACCGTCCTGAACCGTTCCAGATCTGCTCTAGATTGGGCGGTGGCATTCTCACTCAGATGAGGTGGAGGATGGGAGTTGCTGAGTTGGATTCAAGTAACAACTATTAAATGCCACGTTAGCGTTTTTAATTGTTAATCTCATATTTGTACTGTTTTAACACTAAAAATATAGAGTATATGTACTCCACACCTCACAAGTTGGTGTCCTGAATTCACATTTCCCTCCTGGAACATTGGACATCAGAGGAAATATTAATGTGGCTAGAGGAAAAGAACGGATTGCTGGTATAGGAGAAAATCGATACATTAAGTTTAGACGCTGTAGTACGAAAATTTTAATCGAACACTGGTGACAATTCGAAGCACAATATAATAAGCAAAACATATGATGATAATCATGATATGAATATGCCCTTTTGTTCACGAGTAACTGAAAGGGAGAAAGAAAAAGCGCCATTATACTACGGAGTATTAACCAAAACATGTCTCTAAAGCTCTGGTTGTTTCTTATTATACCAAAACCCATAATCGGATCTTCTTCTTCTTCAGTTAATCAATCACCACAAGATTTTTGTACTCATCTCCTGAAATGGCATACTCCGTGATGGCAAGAGGATTTGTAACAACCTCTTTATCCAGAAACACCTTCATCACCCTCTGTGAATGCCCACTAACCAAAGCCGCCCCTTTCTGATTCCCCAAAACTGGCGTCGATTTCGAGTACTTCAAGTTCCAGAATACAATCTCCGGCACACAGTTCCAGTACCCCTTCTCTCTGAACTTCCTCTCAATCGCCTGGTAATCCGTCTGCGGGGTAAATGATGGCGTTTCGTCAAACTCCATGTCGCTGAGCACAAACAGCCTCTTTATCATCTGGTCCTCTTTCAGATTCCCGTTCACAGCCACTTCCAGGATCATGTCAATCACCTTCTGGAAATCTTTGGTCTGGACCAGTCTCATGTTTTTCACGAAGTCTACCTTGGATAGAAGGTTGTTGCCCTTGATGGTGTGAAGCCGTGGTTGATCACTGAAAGTGATCAGCTTCCCCTTCCATGGCTCCTCGCTCAATTCCGAGACGAGGAGGCCGAGAGCCAAACCCGCCTGTAACGGAGCTCCCTCCATGGAGTCAGACACATCGCAGACTGCAAGACAGTTCTTCAGCTTCTTCTCTCCATTGTTGCTCAAATTATTCACCATTCTGTTCCACCTTGAATCCGCAAGGGCGCCTCCGTCGTCATCAGACAGTGATTCAACGATCTGGTGGGGGAGGAGAATGTCCCAATCTTTTGAGACCTCCGGCGATTTGAGAGCATCACGGAGAGGGACGAGGACTTCCTTCCTCAAACGATCCCTCACGCGGTAGGCGTACTGTGAATCCTCAATTCCCTGATATTCATGGTGGTTTTCCTTAGGGAAAACCTTTCTGGCAATGCTTTCGCATAACAGAGTAGACCTATCGAAGGACGAATCGAGTGAAGGGCACCATAATGCGGCCTGGCTAAGGAGATTCGGAGAAGACCCCTGTTTTAGGGTTTCCAAATCCCTCTTAAGAAACTGCGCGAAGAGATCTGAGACTCGATCGTGGAAGTATCTGAAATCCGCGTCGCGGGTGTATCTCTCGATGACCTTTTTGGCCTTCTCGATCCTCTTCGATTCTCGTTTGAGCTTCGCATTCGCCTTCTCCTCTTCCATCCTCTTCTGGATCGTTAATTTCTTCGCTTCCTTTTGGTCCTCCGTCAAAAGCATCCTCTTCTTCTTCTGTTGCTTCTTATTAGGCTTCTTCTTCTTCCCTCGAAAACGTATGTACTTGACCTTCCTCATTTCCCTATGGTGCTCTAACATCTCCTTTTGATGCTTGCGAACGTCTCCGCCTTCGAGTATACGGTAGAGAATCTCCAGGAAGTCCTTGAGGTACCCGAATCTGGCGATTTCCTCCAAATTGCAAGCTAGGGATTTGGGGTGGTGCGAGTGAAGCCACAGAGCGGACGCGTAGAAGCCTTCCTTGTCCGATTTTCCGGTGCCGCCGACTCCCCGGAGATTGCAGATGAGTTTGAGCGTCGTCAGGGGATTGTGACTCCACGAGCTTTGAAGCATATCTTCGATTGAGCGATGATTTTCCTCCATGTACATGCCATAGCTGGCTCTTTCGCTCTTAACGGGTGTGTCCGGGACCACGTGAAAGAAAAAGTCTAAGCAGGGATTCCCGGTGGAGAGGTAGGTGTGCGATTCGTTCGCCGTCTTGCCCATCGCCGGCTTTCCGATGACAACTTTTCCGGCGGTGTTGAATTTTGTCAGCATCAGATGCATGAAGGAGTCGGCCACATCAGATTCCGGCGGGGCGGCGGCGGAAGAAGTGGTGGTGCGGACTTCCGGAGGGCCGAGAAGCATAGACATCGTGGAGGGAGGATTTGATATTGTTTCGATCTGGAGAAATTATACTGAGAAAATGAATGGATTAAGCAGATTTGAAGGCTATATACGTAGTGGAGTATTTAGAAGAGGAGGATTGCTTACCTGCGAAGTAGCAAAGAATCAGTGATCTGGTAAATCAAAATTCGATCTGTCTTTACTTGGAGGCCAAGAATCGTTTTTAAATTTAATTAAATAATTTCCATGTAAATCTCACTCACTCCTACGGTACTACCAAAATAGGTAGCAGGATTCTTCACTTTAATTTCCCCCGTCGTGCTTCCAGAGGCAAAATTCGTGTGTTACTGTTCACGCATGTTAACAGTAATTTTTTTTGTTCTTTCTCTTATTCCAGTAGCAGCGTGATATAATTCGCGTGTAAAAAGATGTAACACACGTTGTTGATCAATGCAATTCAAGTTCATTCGAAATGTAACTTGTCAAATACATAATATAAAAAATAAAATATTGATTTTAATGAAAACAATAAAAAAAGTCTAATTGCCCAATTTTTGTACATAAATAGTGTATATGTTTTATTTTTTAATGTCAAGGCCATTGAAAATGATTTTAAAAAAATTCCTTTTTTTCTTCATTAGCAGGAGTTTATTTTCAAATGCAATTCAAGTTATGACAAATGTAACTCGCATTATTGATATTTAACTCGCGTTACTGTAAAATGTAAATCCAGTGTTTTTAATGTAACTCATGCGCTGGAATATGTAACTTGTTTTACTCTCTCAACTTCAACTTGTTATACCACTTCAAATATAGTTTTTATAAAAATTGTTTTTATAAAAATCATTCCATATTTTTTTATTTCTATAAAAATGTTTTTTATAAAAATAAATTTTCTTTGAATAGCATGAGCCTATTTTGTTGTGTAACTAGCATTATATTATGGTGTAACTCGTGTTATGAAAAATGTAAATCACGTTTAAGTATGATGTAACTTACTAAGGAAAGTTGACATGTAACTCACATTCATAGATACGTAACTTGAGATAAATGGAAATGTAAATTCTTTTAATAAAAATGTAACTTTTCTCGGATACCCGTGGAAGACTGTCCCCTGCAGAAACTTGAACAAAAAGAGTTGAACAAATCGGAACCCAATCCCCAACAGAAACCATAGCAACCCCAATATCAGATCTTCATCCCTGTGTCAGGCGACCAGTCCCTCCTACCAGCTCCAAGGGATGCCCAATTCAGACTGAAAATTTGGTCTATGCTTGGCATCAAACATCCATTATATGTTTTTCAGAGTATCCATTATATGTTTGTAATAAGCGACAGTTGATGAAGAACTAGCTGGTTACGCGAAGGGAGTACGGCGTACTCGCCGGCGAGTCATGCGTCTGCTATCAAGGTGTGAAGGCAGCGAATAATAATAGTTGTGCTCAACCTAGAGTTAATAATAGATCATCCTCCTGCCGCCAAGGCGGCGGATCCTATATCCAGGCAGAAAATTCTAGGCTTGTGGGTTGCAGCAATTGTCTATATAGGAGGATTCATAGTGCGAAGAATTCCAGGCTTTTGGATTGAGGAGTATATACGATACAGGAGGATTAGTAGAGTGAAGAATTCAAGGGTTGTTGATTGAGCATGGAGGTTCACAAGGATTCGTATCAGCGAAGAATTGGTTCCTTGAATGCGGGGATGGAACATATGATCGATGGAGAAGACGATGAGTTTGTGCGTCTCTGTTTTAATTAATTATAAAACGATACCGTTTTGGGATTGGTGCACCGTGCGCACGGTGCAACAATCCCACGGTATAAATTGTGAATTTTCTCTGTTTGGCATACATTGTCCATCACCAATTTTCATTTTTTGCTACAAATCCGACTTAGTTTGTAGAGCGACCAAAAAATTGAAAAAATAACTAACGATCAAAACTCACATAGACTATGTACAGATTATAGCTATGTGTGTTGAGTAAACATTTGATGAGCACATATATAAAGTCTACCACTATTCATCTAATTGAATTGTCGTGATTTACAATCTCTCATCCGAGGCATGAAGGGTCTCGTAGTCGGGATTCAACCATTTAGAGGAACGAGATGTGCAATTTGACTCGCATATTTCCTAATATCCTAAATTAGAATTTATTCATTTCCATGTTTTGTTCTCAAATTAATTACTCTCAGCTCCCACCCTGTCATATTCAGATTTCATATTAATTCTTCTACAAGTATTTTCATATTAATTCTTCTACAATGGGAAACACTAGTTTCTGCAGCGTTTTGGAGTCAACGCCAAAAAACAAACGTACCCGTTATCTCAACAAACTGCGGATTCATATATATGATCTTCGATTTGAACTATATTTTAAATCATAAAAAATGCTTTACGTAATTGCAATTTGTTTTTTTTGTAGCATATCAATATAATGCAAAAAGTTGTTTTGAAATGAAATACTTCGTAATAAAATTTACTACGGACTTGGGGAGTACATAGTTTCAAAAGATGGTGGCCACCAGGTTAATGACATTACATGAAAGAGAGTGTAATTAATCCATATATGAAGAAAACACATACAAATTTATCAAGTTTGATAAAGGAAAATTACAAGCTTGGAAATTAAAGAAAAGATCACTCAAACTTCTAATATAATCTAGAGAGTATTGTGTATTCTACGTCTCCAAGCTCTGGTTTTTGCAATAGAGGACTCCTTTTATAGAGGTGTGAGATTCTTTGTGTAATAATGAAGTGAATGGGGTAGTTTAGGAGCAAGGAGCCAAGGACTTCTTTCTATCCAATTGCTAAACTTTTTGTAATGCACTTAAACAAGTGTTCGTATATATAAGACTTTTTTTTTGCTTTCTTTTTCTTTCCCCTCCCTCGTCTAACCCCGACCAATTCTATCCAATCAATATTCCTCTTTAAAGAAAACATATGGTAAACAACACAAAGTCTTATTCACGTGGCATCTTTTAGAAATTCTTGAAATACTAGTTACTACCTCCAATCAACTGATCAAGTGATTCGAGTGAGATACTAGGAGGTGGTTCACATTTCTAAGAAAAGTGATTATGTATATTGACACTAAAATGGAAAAGTAGTGGGAATATCATAAAAATAATTTAGTATTATTATATAGAGTAAACGATACTACCTCCGTCCTCTAAATATTGAAACGGAAGAGAGTGGTGTGGTTTTTAAGAAAAGTAAAATTATGTAGTTGATAATGAGTCGATAAAATAAGTATAAAGTAAGAATGAATTATAACCAAACAAATGTTACCAAATATATATGGTATAACAATAGTAGAGGGACATCCAAAAATAGAAAAGTGGGACAATTATAGGGGGACGGAGGGAGTATGAGATAAACTTAGGGTGTGTTCATTTTAGACGTTTTAAGACATTTTAGAATTTATGAAATCTTGGTGTGTTTACATAAGACATTCTATAACATTTTATAAACCCCCAAAATATGAGTAAGACAGGGATTGTATTTTAGAACGTGGACTTATCCAAACTTACAATCCCAAATACAAACACAAATCACATCCCCAAATCTCACCACACCTTTACGTGAGATTTGAGATCCATCGAGTCAAATAAGGAGAAATCAAGAACGACAGTTGCATCTATTTTCCTTGACGTCTCACAGATGTGAGGAGTCACCGTTGTCATAGCCGAAAACTTGTGCATTTCTCGAGTCAAGTGTCTCAAATTTTGTTCTAGTAGAACAAATATACTTGCGAACCTCCACATAGTCCGAACACCTAAGTTTTCCAACAAATTTATTGGGACTCCAAGACATTAGCAAGTTACCATCATAATGCACCCCATTAACTTTGAATCCAACATCATTGAACTCTTGGAAACGAAGTTGATCTTCAAGAACATTATCTATAGGTTGATTTGGTCGTAGAGGGAGAAAGCTCGCCGGAGTGACAACAATTGTTGCATTCGATGCAAATTGTTATGTTTCAGAAATTCACTCCGCAAAGCTTGCATCAATGTCGGCATCATCCCTCTCTCAATATGAGTATATCATATATGAAACTCCAGAAGATATATAAAAGAAAATAACATCTCAAATACGTATGAAAATTTGCGTATCTCAAATACGTATGAGATAGACTTCATGTTTGTATGAAAATTTGCAGCTATCTGATATGTTGCACGCTTCACTCCTTTGCCAAATACGTTAGATAAATAATCCATAAATGTCTTACGTAAAAATATAGTGAAATCCATATAATAAGTCTCCTAAAATATCATATTGTCACACATCTTAAAAAATCTAAACAAGTCCTAAATGAATACACTCCTTAATGGGACGAACAAAAAAGAAAAATGGATTAAAATAATGGAATGGAGTTTAAAAGTTCTCACACATAGTCCTGACTCCTAAGTTTGCTAACTAAATCAAGGTTTTTGGATGTTAGCGATAACAAATCTATTAAGAGTTTTTTTACTAAAGGAGGGTATTTTGAAATCTTATTTACCAAATCAGAGTACTTTTTATCTTATTTCCAAAATAAGGGGAGTTTTTGCATTGTCATCCAAATTCGAGTGCCACGTCAGCACACGAATTGGGTCATCATTTTTTAATATCCACGTCATCTGTTTTAATATCCACGTCATTTTAATTTATTTTGAAGGCAAATCATAACAGCTCAAAAAAATAAGCCCTCCAGGAATCGAGCCCGGGCCATATGACTTGTTACCTCAACTTTCAAACCAATGCACCACACGACCTAGTTGATAAAATATACTATCGTAGTTTTTAAGTTTATATGTACCGTATAGATTTAGGCTTGTTAATATATTTACTAAAACCAGGCATAATACTTTTCAAACTAAATCGTTTCTTGGCTTTGCCCCAAATGCGAACTATTATTCCTTCCGACATCCAAGTAAGTTAGGGTTTCGTTTTCTGCTCTTCTGGAATTGGCTCATCAACACGTTTTCGCCTTTCATCAAATTTCGGTTTTTCTCTGATTCTCTTCTTCAAATTCAGGTATGTAATTCATTATATAGTAAACATTTATTAATTGATTCTCCTCTTTCTGCTCTTCTAATTGTTTTGTAAATTTCTTGCTTCAAATTTAGTTTTATTGCTCCTCAAATTCAATTATTTATAGAAATTGCATTGAAATAAGTTTTTCTTCAATTTAGGACCTATACACTGAATTTTCTATTTTAGAAGTCTCATAAACCGATCCAAAAAATTGAAATATTTAAAATTTTATATCCCCTCTTAGATGCCATGATAATACGATTATACGAATGGCATGATATTTACATACTAGCAAGTTTCATACTAATGTAAAGTTAGTCTCGTATTTAATAATTCTAATTTTAGTCTCCTATTTACTAATTTTAGGCCATGAAAATTTTTGTAAAACCGAAAAGTACTTTATACAAAACTATTAGGCCATAGTTCTAGTTTTAGTCTCCTATTTACTAATTTCACGCCATAAAGTACTCTTCTATTTCAGGCCATGATTTTTTTTTTTTGCTAAAAAAATTGATTATACAGTAAACATTTTATTAAACGTACTTTATTTCATACTAGCACATTTACGTGTAAAGTTTTGTATTTGATTCACTCTTATTATTGTATACTATTTTCCTTGTTAACTTAATTCAGATTTTGCAAGCATCAGCATGAATGCAGTGCAACAAATGATCCATTCTGAAAGTGATGCTATATTTTTTGATACGAATGTTGATAATGAGACAATTGACTTGGAAGAATGTATTGAACAAGAGGAAGATTATGAGGAAAACAGTGAGGGTGATGAGGAAGTGGTTAAGGAAAATGAAAATGACGATGTGGTGCTTGGAGAGGAAAAAAGTAGAGATAATGTTCCTTTCTTCAACCATATTGATGCTGCAAATGATGACGTTACTAGTAGTTGGTCATTATTACAGCCAACCGTTGAGTGGACTCCATGTGTTGAGTTAAAGAAAGGGTTAACTTTTAAGGATAAAGCTGATTTGAAAACGGCTGTTCAACTTTACTCTATTAAGAGGCACCGCATGTACGAAGTAGTTGAAACGAAATCAAATGTATGGGCATTGAAGTGTGCGAAACACAAGGAAGGTGGATGCGGTTGGAAGCTTCGAGCATGTAAGCGTAAGTCCCATCAACTCTTTGAAATAACTAAATATGACGGCCCACACCAATGTGTGTACCAAAGTTTGAGTCGGGATCACCCAATGTTAGACTCAAATTTGTTAGCACGAGAAATTGAAAATCAAGTCAAAGTGGAGCCTTCAATTACAGTGGCAGCCTTAATAGAGACTTCGAAAGAAAAATTCTCTTACGATGTATCATATAAGAAGATGTGCAATGCCAAACAAAAGGCAATACACACTGTGTTTGGTGATTAGGATAAGTCCTATAAAACTTTGCCTGAATTTGTAGCCGCGCTTGAAAAGTGTAATGACACAATTGTCGTATGGCAGTTTGAAAAGTTGCACGATCAGAATATGGGGACTTTTCAGCGTATATTTTGGGCTTTTCCACAATCTGTTGAAGGATTCAAGTACTGCAGACCAGTAATTAGTATTGATGGAACTCATTTGTATGGGAGATACAAAGGGAAAATGTTGATAGCTATGGCTGTTGATGGAAATAATCAACTATTCCCTCTCTCATTTGCTATCGTTGAGGAAGAATCTTTTGACAGTTGGAGTTGGTTTCTTCATTGTCTTAGACAGAAAGTAACTCAACGGAAAGGAGTTTGCTTAATTTCTGATCGTCATAAAGGAATTACTTCTGCAGTTAACGATCCTTATTCCATGTGGCGAGAACCTTGGGGTTATCATCGATATTGCTTGCGACATATATGCAGTAATTTCAATGACAAGTTTCACAATAAACAGTTAAAAGTGCTTGTGTAAGAGCAGGAAGTGCACACCAAGTGCAAAAGTTTGATGCCATAATCCAAGAAATTGACAAAATCAATCCCGAAGCTCGTAAATGGTTGGACAAGATCCCGGTACCACAATGGTCATTGGCTCATGATGGGGGCCGACGGTATGGAATAATGACCACCAACTTATCTGAGGTGTTCAACAGTGTGCTAAAAGGTGCTCGGAATTTGCCTATCACAGCTTGTGTGCAATTAACCTTCTATCGGTTAGTTAAATTTTTTTCTGTGAGACGGGGGTCTGTTGAAGATGCGTTGGCTAAACGATACTTGTATACGCCACATGTTCTTGCGACTATTGAAGGATATCGGGTGAAGGCAAACACACATGATATTGTTCACTTTGATAGAGCACAAGGAGTTTGTGAAGTATTAACTGCCCCATATGGTGAGGGGATGCAGAAAGGGCACAATAAACAAGTGGTCCACCTTGCTCAAAAAACATGCAGTTGTGGAAAGTGGCAAATTTATAAATTTCCATGTTCACATGTGATGGCGGTGTGTGGACAGTTAGCACTTGATATTTGACAATACACTGAGGAGTACTACACCATTCACTACTACTCTCAAACTTGGGCCCCTCAGTTTAGCCCAATCCCTCATGGGGACTATTGACTGGAAGCAAATATTCCTCAACTGTTGCCGGATCCTACTCGTAGGCGTTCAAAGAAAGGAAGACCTCAATCCACACGAATTAGAAACGAGATGGATATCAAAGAAGGTAAAACTAAGACACTGTGCGGCATTTGTAAAGAGTCGGGTCATGATAGACGGACAAGTAAAAACAAGAGAAAAAAGATGGACTGATGGTCTCATCTATACTAGGTATTTCTAATGTTTTAATTTTATATTTTGTCACTACTTTTTCAGTTTTTCCATTCACTGTTTTAGTAATACAATTTCTAATTATTTATGGGGTCATTACTGCTAGAGTTATTAATACATGTACTGTTGAATATATTTTAGCCTTACATGTACACTAATAATTTGTATTAATGTTGATTATAAAAACTTGCAGATTTATTTTAGTCTAATAACTAAACTGGTGAACCACTTATACTGGCAGATTTGAATACTAACTGATTTTAAAAAAACGGCAGATATAACAATTTTTTTTAGGATACATGTAAACATAAATACCAACTATACTAGGTTAGATTGCTGTATTTTATTTTATATTACTTTGCTTGAAAAGAGATTACTTTTTCCATACTGTCTTGCGGCATTTTTTGTATCCTAAATTGCGTATATTTTATATATGTGTGTGGGTTTGTGTATATTTGTGTAATATGCTCACGCTAACTTTTTTATGTGTAGGTGGTGGTGGCAAACGTGAATATGACATGAGCTTCCCGGATGCACTTGTAGTGCTTTGCGTAAATTTTGTCACGAGGAGATGCTCATATTTTTAATATTGGAGAACTCTCTTATTTTGTAATCTTAAGTACTCTTTTTGGATGATGGACGTATTGGTTGTTACTATGATATGTTGTGGTGATTTGCGTAGAACTTTGTCATGTCGAGATGCTCATATTTTTATTTTTAATATTACAGAACCATATCATTTTGTTTATTAGTAATTTTTGGTACATTTCTTTTTTAATGATACATGTATTGATTACTATAATCATTTGGTGAAGAATTTATGCAGTGTCTTCCACAGATTTTTTGTTTGCTGTTGATGACTTTCTACATTATTTTGTTGTTATTGTTGAATGTTATCGAATTTTTTCATATGTTTAGCCGAAGGGATAAGTATGTTTGAATACAACAAGTTAGTAAACACTTATCTTAGCCTAGTGGGAGCAGCATTTATATGCCTTTGAAGGAGAAGGGATCGATTCCCCTCTATGCCCAGATTGTTTAATTTTTCTTGGATGTAGGTACTAGGACATGACAATATGGCATCATATGGAAAATTAATTAATTAAAATGATGTGGATATTGTAAAACAAATGACGTGGATATTTAAAAATGATGACCCAATTCGTGTGCTGACGTGGCACTCGAATTTGGATGACAATGTAAAAACTCCCCTTATTTGGGAAATAAGATAAAAAGTACCCTGATTTGATAAATAAGATTTCAAAGTACCCTCCTTTGGTAAAAAAACTCGCACATCAACTATTTAACTATAGTACTGATGGCAACGGGGCCGTTCGGGACCGGATTAAGTTATTATCCTCAAAACTGTCATGTCCCATATTGAGGAATTTTTTACCCGAACTATACCCGGTTGAAACGGGGGAACATGTATTCCCGCGAGTAACCACATTCTCAAAAACAAAATTGTTCTTCCAAAATAGTATCACTATCAAACAATCACTTGACCATTTAAAAAAATTCAATGAGCACTCCAAATCATGAAATCAAATTTATCACAACAATGAAGTCAAAATAAAAATTACAAAAACACTCACAATTTAAAAGTTAAAATACACATTCCCACAACATTCAAAAGCTAAGTCTGAATTTCGTTATTATATTCCAACATTCAAAGCACATTGGAGCAACAATTAAAAGTCTAAATTCCAACAATATTCAAACTCAGTAATAACATCTTTCAAAAAGAAAAACTCAACAATAAACAACATGATAAATCTGAAATTGAAAAAACTAATGTATTCCAACATTCAAAGCACATTTTAACAACATTTAAGCTTTTCTCTTGAATCATCCTTCAATCTCTTGAATCATTATTCAAGTCTTCAACACGCTAAAGTGTAATCAACTTAGAGCCTACAATAAAATATAAAAAATTATTAGCTAATATGGAAAATGTAATAAGGATTTCTGATTATGAAAACTTTATAAGTATATAGTGCACTATAATTTTCAAACTACATTACAATAAAGAAGTAAGAGAAAATAATATTGAGGCATACCTTTACGGCAATTTCATTGGGTTCATTCAAATCGTTATCATCTTCATAAATGTTTGAAACAAATGGCCTGTCTTCACCTATAGTAAAAAAGTATATACAAAATAAAATAGAGAGATGCATTTAAGTATAAACATATCAAAGGTTACCTTTGAGATTGTTCCACAACCAAATTTGAGCACACACTAATGTTTCTATAGTCTTTGAATGAAGTCGATTACGGTGTGGACTAACTAACCTACCGCTGGCACTAAATGCAGATTCTAAAGCAACTGTAAAGACATGAATTGCTAAAATATCTTCGGCAATAGCTTGCAAAGTATGGCACTTTACACCATTGACTTTTCACCACAATAAAATATTAAAATCATCCGTCATTGGTAAAACATTGTCATCCAAATAATGGTCTACCTCTGCTCTGCAATTGGAACCAATTTTTTTTATCTTTTCACAAAATTCTGAAAATCACTCATGCAATAAGTTGTCATGCTTCTTGAACTACTCTCTCTCGTCAAATGTAGTATTTGCATCATAGTCGTCCTTTCTTCTTTGATATTCCTTGATCATATAATAGCACATTTGTAAAATGTTATTAATTACTTGATCATGATCCTTGGGACATACCATAGGAAGATCGTATCTAAGTAAGGCCAATTTAGACCTCGAGTCTAATACGACATCAACACCTATCAACTCATGAACCACTAACCAATATAAACATTAAACTTATTCAACATGTTTTATGCCATGACACTAATGATTACATTTGTTAACTTGACCCATTCCTGTAGCTCCAATTTGATGACACAAATTTAACTTGACCCACTACTGCAACTTTATCTGCTTGTCGAAGTTCATCGAATCTAACCAAGTACTTCTAAACTTTTGCAAGGATGCTTAATATATTTGCATTACAAATAAGGCACATTTAAATTAACATTCAGTTAACAACCCTAAATTCCTAATACTATTCTAATTTGGAATATCATTAATCATTAATTAATGACATAAACACGGCCAAAGTAATTTTCATATCAGCATGCACTCTAATTATATAGGCCTATTCCACTGTTCAACCAAAGCGGTCCCTTTCGTCATAAGTCAGAGTGCATTTCAACTACTCTTCCTGTAAACTACTCAGCCAAAGAAACAAGTGTCGAAATAGCAAGCATTTCATAATACCTACATGTTGAGATTGCAGGATGAGATCACAGTAATACACACATTAACACATATCACTTCACTAGCTTGCAGCCAATACTCCCCATCTTCTCTCTGAAGTATCATTCAGATGCAACAATGCAGTTAGTGAACATTGCCCTAATGAGCCACTTAGCCACGCTTGGGGAATAGAGATGACAACGGGTGGACTGGGATACAGGTTGATGTGATAGGGGTATCCGTGTATGGGGCATCTATGCATGCAGTAATGCAATTAATGAACCTTGCCCCTAATAAGCCGTGAATGGGAAATACTAGGAGGGGGGCATATCAGTTCCATTTGGCTGAACCAAACCATGTACAATTCGGTTTGAATTTGGTAGTATTACTTCCAAACTGTATTGAACCTAACCGAACCAAAACCCTGAAAAATTGAATAAAATTAAAAAAGTCAATAAAACCTTAATATACAACAACAACATCCAAGCCTTAATACCAGAAGAATTTGGGGTCGGCTAACATGAATCGATCCATGATATTGGTGCGAAAAAGAGCAATAAAACCTTAATATATATATATATATATATATATATATATATATATATATATATATATATATATATATATATATATATATATATATATATATATATATATATATATTAAACAAACCAAACGAATCAAACGAAAACATAGTATGGTTTTTATTTGTAAGTCATTCCTTCTATAGTTCTATCCATTTCAAACTGAAACCGATATGCCCACCCCTAGGAAATAGGAATAACAACAGGTGGAGTGGGATACGGGACGAGCATAAGAGGATATCTGGGATTGCCGGGCCTTAATGGGGCCTGTTTTAAAAACCGTGATGTGATTTAGGACGGGTTCAGAAAACTTTTTGATGCCCAATAAAGTTTAGGACATTTGAGGTTAGCAACCTTAGCATAGGGGGCATGCTTTCTGAAATCCGGTATAAATTAAACTAATAACCCTAAACAAAATATACTAAACTTGTACACCTTACAAGTAAATTTGGTACAATGGATTAACCCGTTTTTGTTTATCCCCCTTTCTCTCTATTTATTATTATTACTATTATTGATCATTTTTAACTCCGATGTCATATATCGATTCATGTTAGCCGACACCAAACTCATTTGGGATTAAGGCTTGGATTATTGTTGTGAAAAGTCTTCATCTAGGTTAAAGTGTGGAATATTTACATTTTTATTTGTACGTAAACAAATGTTTGCTTATTATGTGAAATTTATTGCAATTTGGGATTGAGAAGCGGGACAGGTATAAATGGGTATTCCACAAACGAGACAAGATTGAAAAAATGGTGATCCTTGGGCCTGGGAGTTTTGGGATAAAGAATGAACTGTTTGTGATGGATTTGGAGGGGATGCGGGACTTTAAACAGGTTCAGGTTTGGAGCGTAAAATGTTAACAGTAAGGCACCCTACCAACTTTGCAATCACTCCGGACAGGAATACATATTTAATACGTAGTATAACAGTGTCTCTATTGTTAATTTCACATGAGCCCACGGTTAAGTTGGAAAAAAGGTCTGAATAAGCAAAATAATAAAAAAATAAAAATTCAAGAAGCTGAACATTTATCCCCCACACATAAGTTCCTAAACTAAAGACATTACACTCAGTCAATCATAATACATAACATAGTCACATGGCATGTCCTTGTTAGCTTATTCTATTCATATTTCACATTTAAAAGGAGTATAATACAATCTTTGGCTGCAGTGATTTCAAATCACACTAATGATGCCTCACACCAAAATGTTCAGTGAGCTAGTTGAGCTCACTTATACCTAACTGCACATATTGAGGCTGCCATTTTCATCTGGTGGCATCTTAACTTCTACATTCCCAACCATCGACTGATGTATAGTCTACTTACGCAAAAAAATGATGATAAAAAGAAATGCTCACCTTTTCTGAGCAGCTGCAGAAAGCTTTGCTTCAAGTTGCTGAGCCAACTTCTCATCTTTCAAAGAAGATGACCAAGTGAAAGGTCTTAGTTTTGTGCGTGCTCTGGGATCACAAAATTTCATAAAATTGCTGCATTGGATTAAGACTTCTAAGAAGAATAGCTGATACCAAAAAGGATATATAGTAGATACACAACCCTCTTCATTGCACACAAATATATTGCAGTTTGAGTTCATAGTTCATACATAGTATATTGAGGATAAAAGGAAGCACTCTGCTTTTAGAAATACCAATTCATCCCAAGAAACCAAGTCTTGAACCGCAAAGTATTGATCAGTTGAACTAAATAGTTTTTTAATTTTATCTAGCCAACAAGCAGAGGAACACACAGTATATATACCAATAACTAATCATTATCCTAATTTCCTATCCTTCAGTTCCAATTTTATCAAATTATCCTTCAGTTTCCAAAATACCATTTTGGAAATCAAGTTGCATGCACAGGTAAACATAAAACCACACCTTATACAAGTAAAATATCAACTTGCATCCAAACTTTTGTTCAAGTTTCTGTAAATCAACTTCAAGATCCAACACCAGCGCAAAGTTAAACCCTGAAAACTATAACTCCTGAAATACTGTAAATTG